ACTGTCGTTCACTTTGACAGTGCTGGGTGATCACTGGGATGATCGTAATTTGCAGGCTGTAGATTTTGAAAATTTGATGTGATTTTATTTGTCATATGTTACATGTATTTATTATAGCAGTAACAGTAAATTACAACAAACTTGAACGTGCATTTTGTTAATAACACCGTTACAAAGACACATACAAATAAAGTGTGTTCTTATTATTTTTGGGGTGAAAAAGATGTCATTCTATATTGACAAGGAACGTTATTGCCACTAAAAATATGTTCAATGCATGACTGACATGAGAAAACTGTGTTTTTTCAGTGTTTAACCCAGCAGAGGTGGGTTCAGAGGGTAAAGGATACAGATGGAAAAGCAGCAGTCTTGATGACACCGAGGAAGATGAGCTTGCGGATGGCATCTGGGGTGAGAGTGTGAATTAGGACCATTTAAAATTTTGGGTGAACTTTCATTTCAAAAAGGGAATTATGCAGGCATTGATGGTGATGTCATGTTTCCAGGCCTTGTGTTGAATCCCGACCCAGAGAGTGACAGCGAAAGTGAGGTCAGCGAGGGATCGCATGACCTGAGAAGCCACACTGTGTCACCTGAATTGGATGATGTCACAGGTGAGAATTGTAAACGTGAAATACAACATTGTTGAATCCATATATGTTGCATTCGTATTTTCCCAGTTATAACTGCCGCCTTTCTTTTGCCCTCAGTGTTTCAGAACGAGGTTCAGGGTACGTTACAGAGAGGCTTGGATGAGAACATAGGCTGTGACAATCTGGTTCTTGAGATTAACTCACTCAAGTAAGTTAAAGTGGCGAAGATCCAGTTATTTATTAGCTCTTTGTTCTAGAGGTCTTCACAGTGCACCCGAGACCCGTCGGCCCCGGACCCGACCCAGGGCCCGTACGGGCTCGGGTCTATATTTTAAATGAGCAGCCGGGTCCGGGTCGGGTCCGAATCTATTACTTCGGGTCCCGGGTCTGTTTAACATTGTGTGTAATACCAACGCATTCTCATCCTTTAGCGTCATATAGGACGCGCTGTATAACAAAACGGCGAAATACTACTCACATGGCACCCGTTAGCGTTAATATAACACGCGCTGAGAACGGGCTGGTAATACACGTGCGATCGGACTGCAATCTCAAGCGCGTGTCATGTTTCTATGGCAACCAGAGCAGAGCTTCCGCCAAACCGCGCTTTGCATTTTCTCCAATGTTTATAATAATATAAATGAACCGTCTTGTTTAATCTTAAAGTTTTGGTGGTCAGATTCAGACTCAATGAAGAGCAGAGAGCACAGATATGATCAAGCTGAACAAGCAATCGTTATTATAGTTCAAAAGGGCAAACAGTTAAAGTTATTATGCAAATTAACTCTATTCAGAATGTACATGTGCAAGGCTGCATTTTTCATCCATCACCGGGACATCAAGTGGACTTTTAAAGCTGAAATAATAAGTGGATTAAGCTTGGAAAAACGAGAGAAATAACATGGATAGAGCTTTCATGTCGGTGGATTGTAATGCATCACAGTCAGTCAGATAACGTCAGGAAGTGAGACGACGGCTACTAAAATTAGGTAAGACAAAAAGTTTTATTTTTCGCAACTCGTGTGAAATAATATGTGACAATCGGGTCCAGTCGGGTTTGTGTCTTCCTGCCGGGTTCGGGTCCAGTTTTCAAATAATAGACGGGTCCAGGTCGGGTCCGGGCAGTACATTTATGGCATTTCTCGGGTCTGCACGGGTCCGGGTCCAACTTTTGAAATGAACGACGGGTCCGGGTCGGTTCGGTGTAGCACATTACGGGTCTCCTCCGGGTCGGGCATGAATTTTTGGACCCGTGAAGACCTCTACTTTGTTCACCCAAAAATGAAGAGATCAATTACTGATCGCGTGTTGCTGATCATTTCTCGATGGCACACAAGAGGAGAAAATCGGTTAAATGTCATTGTCACTTCTCAGGTATGCCTACAACATCACTCTGAAGGAAGTAATGCAGATCTTGATGAGAGTTGTGCTCGAGTTTCCTTTCCAACAGCAGGGGGCACATATAAGCACAGCTCAGTATTCATCACACCTGCTTCCTGTGAGTATGTCATATGTTTCATATGTAGCCTACAGAGATTCAATTCAAATAAAACAAATCTTCTGACAGACCTTTTTTTCTGGCTGCATCACCCATCAATTTAAATATTTGTGCCCAATAACATTTTAATGGAAGATGATGTTTTAGTAGAACAGCTATTCAATTGGCTTTATGCACAGCTGCATTACTTCCTGAACTTCAGCCAGCTCCTTGTTTCCTGTCAGCCATTATTAGACAAATTAAGTAATTCAGGTGAGCCTGACCTCAGTAGTCATGGCAACAATAATCAGACACACCTGAATTAATCAAGTTTGCCCAATAATGGCTGACTTTATAGCCCTTAATCCTATAATAGGCTTTATGCCGTGCGTCACGTGACCAAACCGGAAAACGGGTCTCATCGCATCCGCTTGTCAGAGAAAGTGTTAACGGCCGTAAGAACTGACTACGATATCTATGGATATTTAAGGTAATCAGCTAACCTACCTAGTTCACTTTGTTATTGGCGTTTTATTCCATTTAAATATATAAGAAAAGAAGTGAAGAAGATGTGAAGAAAGAAAAAATATAAAACGTTTAAATATCAATCTGCACATGTGAGGGATATTGGTTATGCTAATCTTTGCTCGCTCCTTTTAAGTTATCTTGAGTAAAACCGCAAAAAATATCATGAAGCACATACAAAAGACCTGGACCGGAAGCGATGCGACCTGTTTTACAGAGAATGCGGAAGTAAGTTGTGCATAAAGCCTATTGTGGACAAATGTGGGCACAGAGGACTCAGGTGTAATCCTAATTTTTATTTATTATAAATGTTATATCACTGTCTTCGATAAAGTTTTGTCTATCCATTTATGGTGTTTTTTTTTATTATTATTTTGGGGCTATTTTTGAATGTATTTACTTACTGTAAATTATGCTTATTTTTATGTTTTATTTTATAACTACATTAAAATATCATTCCAATAAGTTCTCAGAGGTAAAACCTAAAGATGAAGTGACTTTGCTGTCACCTGGTGTCTTATTTTGGCTTATTTTAGAATGCTCTAAATTACAGTTTTTCCAATTGATTTCTATGGGTGCCCATTTTTGACCCAAATACAAGATTAAGGAGTTTTTTTATCACCCACTTAACATTGTAGAATTGAATAAAAAAAAAATGTGTGTGTTCAGGAGGCAAACTTACGAAAAACTAGCCAAGACTTGTACCGCTCAGATCAAGGGAAGTATTTTTTAAAAATAAATCAAAACTATTTTGCCCACATTTGTCCAGAATACGGTTTTAGGGTTAAATAAACCTGATACCTTTGTGTGCAATGCCTGACACGCTTTAGTTACACAAATGATCAGCCATTTACAGACAGAAATGTATATTGTGACCATAAATTTGTTTTCATTAAATCTTGTCCACGCATTAAGAATTCCTTCTCGTTTTTGTTCAGTTCTTGTGTTTGTTAAATCGTGACTTTAAATTAGGAATTTATTTTGGTTGAATCGTAAATGTTTCATTAAATCATGGCCTTGAATTAGGAATGTGTTCTTGTTTTTGTAAAATCGTAGCCACAAATTAAGAATTATTTTTGTTAAATCTTGGCCATGGGTTAAGAATTTGTTCCCATGTCTTAATTTGTTCCCTCATTTTACTACGTCGTGGCCCCGTTGGACTAATTAGTAAAACATGCATGATTTGTGGGGACAAATTGTTAATTTGTGGCCACGGTGTGCATTTTTACGTTACTGCCCTTGATATTTTAATAATAATTGTTTTAATGTTAAATAATATAGTTTGTGTGAAAGGCATGGCACGTCATATTCTTAGGTAAGAATTAGTTTGGGGGCGTTGATATCCAATCTAGATCTGCACTGATCTCAGACATGTGTTCTCTGCAATCCAATTCATGGAAAACTTTAATCTTAAATCGGATGCTTCTGTTTTTTTTCCTCACAGTTGTTAAAGAAGTGGGCGCCAGTCTTCAAGAACTATGTGAAGAGAGCTCAAGACCAGATGGACTGCCTGACTTCCATGGAGGAGGTTTTCCTTGAATGCGACACTCATTGGGCAGTTCTGGTCAAAGTGAGCCGCCTCTCTTTCTGCAGTCGACCATAACACCAGTTCTGTCTGTTGCTGGCTGATTGTGTGTAATGCCTGTCCTCTCCAGGTGCTGATGAGCATGTACCAGCTGGAGATCTTGGAGGAGGACGTCATCATGCGCTGGTTCACTCAGGGTGCCGCCACAGAGAAGAGCCAACAGCTCCGCCAGAATCAAGGGGTGCGATTCTCAAAGCTTGATCTGCTGTGAAATCAAACTGATAGCTGTACATTGATTTGTAAAAATCTGTGTGCATGAACGCAATCCAGAGCCCGAATGACTGAAAATGCAACCCCAGTATCAGGCCCTGGTAATATTAGTGGGATGGGACTAAGCTGAGGCAGTGGAGCTTCTTATGGCGAATCGTTGTCTTTTTGGGTTACACTTAATGGTTCATTAGCTAATGTAGTCATAATGTAATTATTATATTAACTAATGAACCTTATTGTAAAGTGAAACCATCAATGACGTGTGAATGAAAGCATGGGAAAGTGTGAATGATCAAAATCAGTGTTTCTGGTAATCTGTGTTAACTTTGTCTCGTCTCTCCACAGCTCTTGAAGTTCATTCAGTGGCTCGAGGAGGCCGAGGAGTCTTCAGAGGAAGATGAATGAACATAAACCATCACAAGTGTGACTCGTACATTTTACAAACCTACACACCATGGTATCTTCTCCATGTGATGACTTGTTTTGCTGCCAAAAGTGAAAATTTAAATACTCATTTCCTCCTTCTTCGGAAGGTACTTTTAAGAACAAACTCATTGGACCTCATTGTCCACAACAGAATTCTAGTGATTAAAGTCAACATGATCACCCGTGAGTTGTGAATAGCTTTTAATATCGGTGACACAGTCAAACACAAGGTATCTGAAATATTGGATTCATATAAAAAGAGAAACGCTGATTTAAGGATAGTTTGAATCACTTGAAAAACCCTGAAATAAAATCAAAGACTGTAGCATGATTTTGACGCATAACGCAGTGCGCTAGTTCTTTTTATCCTTAAGACTGCTATGGATAAACCCCGCTAATAATGTAGAGCCCGTTATTCCAAACAGAGCCGTGAGCCCTTTCCACATGCTGGCGCTGTTCTCGTGTCTCTGCATGAAGCTCCTGTGATCTCCAGGGATCAGGACAAAGCTGCGTCCATCTCTGGGTGTCTGCAACCTCATGATCTTATCCTGCTCCAGCACGAGCTCCCCGAACCCCGTGAGGCACGCCCCCACACGCAGCAGCTCCTCGCGCTCCTCTTGGGCCACAGGCTTCTCTCCGCTCAGTTCATGCAGGACCACGTCCACCAGCCCCTCTTTGGCGGTCCTGAGGCGCTTGTGCACCTGCTCCAGGTAATCGCCGGACGCCTCCAGAGGCGAGTCCACGCGCACCGAAACCTCACTGGTGTAGGACCCGGGCTGGATCAGGCAGAAGGGCACCGTGTTGGTGCTCTGCTTCTTGTTCAATTTTTTGGGGACCCTGTGCGGAAGACAATGAAGCAATACTGTGTTTCAGCTACAGGTCTTCGCACACAGTCTGAAATTTTCGCACGTTAAAAAATAAATGCAACCTCCGTCAAAAAAAAATCCAGATCGGGTTTGATTGGCTGTGTCTTTCACATCCGTAGGAAGCATTTTGAGAGGTGTTTTGACACCAAATGACGAATACGAAAAAACGCATACGAAACTTTAGGACTCTGTGTGCAAAGGCCTTAAAGGTTTAGTTCACCCAAAAATGAAAATTCTGTCAGTATTTACTCACCCTCATGTTGTTCCAACCCCGTAAGACCTTCGTTCATCTTCGGGACACAAATTAAGATATTTAAGATATTAAGATCGCTCCTGCATACTAGTCCATAGGCTTTTTGAGGGACTGGCTCTTGCTGTCCCCGAAAAGTCATTAAAGACATCGTTAAAATAGTCCAAGTGACTACAGGGGCTCAATCTTAAATTTATCAAACGACGAGAACACTTTTGTGCGCAAAAAAACAACAAAAATAACGACTTTATTTCAACTATTCACTTCCTTCTCCATGAGCCTGTAAGTCAGTTAACGTAGTGTGATTGCGTAGAGCTACGTCACACGTAGGCTCACTATTGGCCGACGCTGGTCATGTGTGTGTGATGCGTGTGACGTACAATAACAGAAGCTTACGCCGTTAAACTAGTAACCTGACTCGCGCAGAAACGAATAGTTGAAATAAAGTCGTTATTTTTGTTGTTTTTTTTGCGCACAAAAGTGTTCTCGTCGTTTGATGAACTTAAGATTGAGCCCCTGTAGTCACTTGGACTATTTTAACGATGTCTTTAATGACTTTTCGAGGACAGCAAGAGCCAGTCCCTCACGAAGCCTATGGACTGTATGCAGGAGTGATCTTAATATCTTAAATATCTTAATTTGTGTTCCGAAGATGAACGAAGGTCTTACAGGGTTGGAACAACATGAGGGTGAGTAAATACTGACAGAATTTTCATTTTTGGGTGAACTAACCCTTTAAAGGAGTTCACTTTTTAAAAAACTTTTGCTGACAATTTACTCACCCCCATGTCATCCAAGATATCTGTGTTATTCTTTCTTCAGTCGAAAAGAAATTAAGGTTTTAGATGTAAACATTCCAGGATTTTATAATGGACTTCAGTGGGAACCAAACGGTTCAAGATCCAAAAGACAGTTTCAGTGCAGCTTCAAAGGGCTTTAAACGATTCCAGGCGATAAACAAGGTCTTATCAAGCGAAACGATCGCTCATTTAAAAAAAATAACAATGTTTGTGATGCACGTTCGTGACTCTCCTGTTTAAACCATAGGGTTCAAACTCGTTCATCAAAATGAACAAATCTTTTCCCGAGTCAACTCGTTCATTTTGTTCGTTGAATGAACGTGAAAAAAGATTTGTTCATTTTGATGAACGAGTTCAAACAGGAGAGTCACAAACAAGTTTTTTTAAAAGTGAACTACTGCTTTAGCAGTTACAGTATGAAGAGTAGTCACATTTGAAGCGGATCAAAAAACTTCATCAGAGATGTCCTAAGACAAGAATGGGTATTGTTCAAAATTCATGTATGACTTTGATGAAAGGTTGACTCGTGCATATGTCACTTTATAACGTGCCTTATAGCCTTGCTTCAGCTTGGCTTCTCATATTGCTTAAAGGATTAGTTCACTTCAGAATTAAAATTTCCTGATAGTTTACTCATCCCCATGTCATCCAAGATGTTTGTCTTTCTTTCCTCAGTCAAAAAGAAATGAAGGATTTTGAGGTAAACATTGCAGGATTTTCCATATAGTGACCCTTCAATGGGGTCCAACAGGTCCAAATGTGAGTTTCAGTGCAGCTTCAAAATCTCGACACAATCCCAGCCGAGTCTAATCTAGACAAACCATCTCTCATTTTCTAAAAAATAAACATTTATATACTTATTTAACCACAAATGCTCTTCGTGCACACATTATGTAATCATGTTGAAAGGTCAGGTGGTAACGTGACGTAGGCGGAAGAAGTAGAATAGGGCGAAAAAATCCCAACTCATTTTCTCCTCCAACTTTAAAATCGTCCGCCATCGTTTTTTTTTTTTACCTTCTATTTATTTATTTTGTTAATGCCGTTTAACTTAGTCTTTGCACATTTGCTTTGTAAACACTAGGTCGGTACTTCCACCTACAAGACGCGTGACTTTTCAACGTGATTGCCTAATGTGTGGTGCATCGCAGCTTGTGCAAGACAAGCATTTGTGGTTAACAATTATATAAATGTTTATTTTTTAGAAAATGGCCGCTGGTTTGTCTAGATAAAACTCTTATTCCTCGGCTGGGATCGTGCCGAGACTTTGAAGCTGCACTGAAACTCACTGAAGTCCACTATATGGAGACAAATCCTGAAATGTTTTCCTCAAAAACCTTCATTTCTTTTTGACTGAAGAAAGAAAGACCTATGACATGGGGGTGAGTAAACTATCAGGAAATTTTAATTCTGAAGTGAACTAAATGATTGGCAGTGGAGCATTTACCATGACTTGAGAACAGAGTTCCAGTGCTTCCAGTGCTCCTGCACAGTTATCTTCTGAACGACACCGTAACACTGTGGCACGTTCCTGCTGGAAATGGGCTCTCCGATGGCCTGCACCAGTCCTGCAATGGAGGCAAAAGAAAGATGCATAAACTAAGACTTTAAGTATGAGGTGTTGTTTAGTATTTTATCTACCTTCTACAGCAACATAATTAAGTCTTTTGTTGGACGATGCGTTCAGAATCCTGAGCAGGTGATGGTCTGCTTGAAAGTTTGGGATCTCCTGCAAAGGGGAGGAAACAGGCCAATGTTTGGACGAGTTAGCATTTATAAAAAATTACAGTTTAGCTGACTCATTCTGTTCCACTTTCAGCCAGCGTGACTTGTGGTAAACTGAGAATAAGCATCTTCATCAAAGACTCAACGATGATACTTTATGAATCAGGGGTTTTTGGGTTCTTATCTACAAGCGCCTTCAGTACAACTGTGTTTAATAGTTCTGTTACTTAGGGGATATCATTACCTTCAGCTTCTGTATTTCTTGTCTTTTTTCGGCGTAGAGTTTATAAAACAGTCCTGAGAAGGCAAAGCAGGATCCTGCACATATGACGGTCAGTGGGTTAAGGAGAGGATCGCTCATTTCTGCTCTGGAGAAAGACAGACGAGCTTGTCACAAATGTTTAGTTGTAAAACGCAGTAAACATGGTGATCCATCCCTTATGAAAATTAACCATGGTTTACTGCAAATGAAACCAAGTGGTTATTATTATTATAGTTATATTATGGTAACCATTACACTAACCATACCTTAAAACTGTGGTTATACAAATGATAATTAATCCACCAATAAACAAGCTTTCCACACGTTTGTTATAATTAAACTATGGTTCGGTTTTTTCGTACTTTTCCGCACAATCAGCAATCTTTTTAAAATGATTATACATAGGCACAATTAAGTAGAGTTTTAATGGTTATTTAAAGCTGTAAGTTAGGGCAAACAAGGAAATAAATCCACTTTCTGTCCAACCAGCAGTTGTTTTCGGTATTCAGGTAGAATTTAGTTTTGTTTTCGGTTCATTTCACGGGATGTTTGTGATCCACCTTGTTCACAGCAACAACAGAAGTATAAATCACAATTTATAGTGACTTAATGTCTTGACGTCTCACTTAAACGATACATTAATTAACAAACGTGACATAATAGGTAAAACAACATACGAGCAGACAAATGAACCTCAGCAAAGTAAAATATGTCAGAGTCGCTTACGATGAGGCAGGAAATAATTATTCAAACTTGTATGAGCACTAGTTAGATTATTACACTACATGTATACGATGTATTATATTTACTGCGATCTTGAGAATTTGATCGTTGAATGGGTTTCTCCATTATAATTCTCCTCCTCACCCGAAGTTTATTATACAAACATCCAATGCGTCGTCATCTGAGGTGCACTTGTGAACGTGTGTGTGTACAGAGGAGGAAGACTGTGAAAAAGACAAAACACTCCCACTGAAACACAAACCAATCGGAGGCGAGTCTCCCGATCCCTCCCGACCCTTCGCTTCTCTCTACAGCCACAGTCACAGACCGGAAGAGCTTCTGTTCACCGTCATTTTTTTTATTTTATTAGATTATCTATTTTCACGTGGATTTTGTTTGGACTGACAAACTTACACAAACTTACAATATTTAACGATACTATTTGTGAATAGGTCTGCTCTCAAGCCAATTTCATCATGATATTCCTGTACAAAGACTGCATCCTTGAAAATTAAATTATATCTAATATTAGGCCTACTTTCTACTTTGACAAATTAAAAAAAGGTTATAGTTTATAAATAATAGCTTCATAAATAATAAATGCAAAACGTGACTTTAAACTTAGCCCATTTAAAAAATCTAATTAAAAACAAAAATAACTGAAATGACTACAGAAATAAACAAAAAAAGAAAACTACGCTTCAATAGTGAAATGAGAAAGATGTGCTGATATTAAGTATTTTTAGCGGATAATTAAAGGTGCTCTAAGCGATGTCGGGTGACGTGACTTCAAGCAAAACAGAGGCTGGATACGCCTTATTCACGGCAGCGCCATCTTTGATTTTTAATGAAAATGAAAGCAAGGCTGTGAGGGATAGACATGCATCTCTTCAATGGGCTGTACTGTTATTTAATGTGTTTTCGGATTGTTCTGCTCATGAAACACTGGAAAAATATCTTTCCAAGAAATTTCAGTTGACAAAAAACTCAAGACAATGTAAGCTGTGGGAAATTGTAAGTAATCTAGCAGCTTTATTCAGCTTTTTACAGCGGATGCCATTGGAAACACGGTGAGTCTATCCCTCACAGCCTCACTTTCATACCTGTCATGGCGCTGCCTCCCTCCTCCTCATCCGCGCACTGACCCCGTTCGCGTGACTAACATAAAACTTAATTCACCCCATTGGAAAGCACATGTACACATTATAGTGCACTACGTGTCATTCACCATGTAAAAAATAGTAAATGTGTGAACCAGTGACAGATTTCAGCAGCTTCAGCGTCTATTTATAGTGTAGGGGGCGGGGCTACAGATTCTAGAGAGCAATTAATTGGACAGGAAAAAAGTTAGTGAAGTGCTGAGTGATGTCATCAAAATCATTTATCAATTGGCGTAAGTGAGAGACTGTCTCAAGGCTAACATGTTCATACCAAAAGCCAAAAAACTTCAATTTTGATTTCATGGGGACTTTAATCCTAATAAGGTTTAGGGATAGGGTGAGGCCAGACCTTCAAACTTCAAAAAGGAGTAGCTCCACCCATTGGCTCTGCAGCAGTTAGATGGAAACAGTTAAGCGCATATCCCGCCCCACCGCCGGCTTTATTGGTCAACTCGATTATTTATTGACACCAAAAAATCAGACAACAAAAGTTCAGGAACTTATCCATTCCATTGGACAATAGTTTCAAGCACATCTCCTTAAGTGATGTGAATGAAATATATGAGACTTAATAACATGATAATATTTGTCATTTTTTAGTCCTGGTAAGCATGAGGTCTTGGAAGTTCCAGAGATTTATTCAAAATCAAAAGAGGACAAGCCAACAACTCCAGGGCATTACATTAAATGCAGGTTAGATTACTTGGGAATTGTAATCAGTTTATGATTATAAGCTATTTTAGTAGGACAATCATGTACTATATTAACATGCAAAAAAGGAAGAACAAAAATTCTGTTCTGCATGCAGGTAAAAGCATTAATAAACCATTAAAACATCAATGACATTGTAAGGACATTGTATTTGTATTTATCATTGCATAATATTTAAAAAAACAAAAAACAAACTATGATGTACCTTTCTATTCATGTTTGCTGATAAGAACACTGAAACACACAAGTTTGCTTAAAAGTAATCAGCACATGGTTAGCTAGCACAGTTCTGAACATACCATACCATACCATCTTCTTCCGCTCATCCGGGGCCGGGTCGCGGGGGCAGCAGTCTAAGCAGAGATGCCCAGATTTCCCTCTCCCTAGAAACTTCCTCCAGCTCTTCTGGGGGGATACCGAGGCGTTCCCAGGCCAGCCGGGAGACATAGCCTCTCCAGCGTGTCCTAGGTCTTCCCCGGGGCCTCCGCCCAGTGAGGCGACAGTTCTGAACAGTTGTACACAAATTAAAACGAAATTTTATCAAATACACCCCAAAAAGTTTAAAATTGCAGAAAAAGGGTGTTTGTGCGCAAGAATACACCTGCCAATGGCATTAAAGCATGCAAAATAGAGGCGGGCTCTCCGAAATAAGGGCGCTGCTGAGTGCTATTACCTCACTCACGGTACCATAGACAGTAAAAGAAATGGACACAGCGACCCCATAGAAAATTTTAAGTCAATTAGAAGCACTCACTTCCTGATGGCCAAGCGTACTGTGCAGACTCAAACTGAGCTTGGAAAATTAGATGTGATGTGAGCAACCTGTACGTCAGAGAAAACTGAATCATTCCCTTCCGAATCTTGCAGAGATGGAGAGTGTGAGTAGGAGCTGTCCATGAGCTAGCAGCTGGATCCACTTTATGACTCTCTATGGGCTTCTCCCTTGACTTTATGCTCCACGTCCCCCCGATTGCCCGCGAGCTTCTCCTCCTGTCTATACAGTAATTTCTCTACTGTGCGACAGAGAGTCGCAAGTTATAATGCAATCGTTAGCCTATTTTTACAAAAACTGCTTCTACGGGGCCATAAGGTAAAATACAAGGTAATGGAGCCTTTTATGCCTTTTTTGGAGCCCCCAGGCAGACTTCGGTTTCCGGCTAGTGGATTACCCCCTTTGCACGGTACGGATCCACTTTTGTAACACTACTGCCGCGTGGTGTCACTACGCCTCATTTTTACGTTGATGACCGTTCCTCAAGTTTACCGCTATGGGCATGGTAGGCATTTTATGCATAATTTGCATAAAGATGAGCATCGGCCAACTTTTTTGACAAGCAGCAATTTTCCAAATGCAGCGCCGCCTTCCCGGGATGCTTTGCGGGCGCGTTAAAGTTGCTTAACGTCACTCATAAGAATAAAATGGAGCGCGGCAGAAGTGTCGCGCAGACAAATGGATCCGCACCGTCAGAATCTTGGACTGAAACAGAGTGCAGCCAACAAAAACTTTGAGATACATAACACGGCAGCGCACGCAGTGTCTTGGTTCCTCCTCTCAGGGAACCGAGGTTATGCTAGGCAACCAGAGACGTTCCCTTTCTAGTCGGTCTCTCGACACTACATCACTGTCAGGTGGCATTACGGGGACCTATAAAGTTCCACCGTGTTGATAGCGAAGGTCCAGATCGGCAGCAAGCCACGCAGTTGACCTAGCTAAAATAACTCATAAAGAATTCCGTAGTGATAACAACTGTGAGCAAACGCAGTTAGATCAGAAAAGCCAGTTGCACTGAAGGATACTGGGCAACATAATCATATATCAGTATGCACATGAGCACAGCGTCAGCAGGCGTAGTGACGACAGCTAGTCCCACGTAGCTAGTCAATACTAAGACTAGGAGATAAGTGAGGTTAATCACCCGCAAGATTTCATAAGGCTTCAGTAGTTTCGGAGAAGTAGGGATAACCCTGTAGCGCCACCCAACAGTGACACATTGTTAAGAGACCAACACGAAAGGGAACTAAACCTATATATATAAGAAAGAAAAGTAAATAACTTTAGCAAAACAATTCCACGACAGGAGAAAGCTAGGTATTAGATAAGAGAAAACCCAGGCTAAATAATAAAATCAAAGAGAAAATCAAAGTAACAGTAACCAAATCTATTAATATGAAAGACAAAACCAAGAAAACAATGTAATAGTTAAAGTATAACAAGACATCTAAAGAAAGATAAATAGAAAAGAGAAGGTAGACTAATGATTCTGAGCAGAACCAGAAAATATGAACATATCACACCAGTCCTCAGGTCTTTACATTGGCTCCCAGTTACATTTAGGGTTGATTGTTATTAGAATTGATTACTAGGTTTAAGTATTATTACTGGTATATAAATCATTCAATGGCATAGGACCTCAATACATTGCAGATATTCTCACTGACTATAAACCCAACAGATCACTAGAAATACCAAGGGTTCACTCTAAGCATGGAGAGTCTGTTTTTAGCTATTGTAGCAAATTAGCTCTATGAAATATTAATAATCAATCATAACTTGTTACAGTTGATTAGGAATATTCGAATCAGTTAATTGTGGTAACTTAATGTAGCTACATTAACATTAAAACCAATTACTCTGTTCATCCCGTGAACACTCAAAATTGGTTATTGATTCATTAATAGAAATGTACATTTCCCGGGGCATGGGAAATGTCTTTTTTACTAAGTACTGTACTACTAAGAGCAAGTAGTCAAGATCTAGGATTAGTGACTCCGGATATGAGCTTGAGACACGGACAGCTTTACGTGTGATATGAACAAGACTTTATTAACTAGACTAAACATTAAACTGCTCTAACATACACATACATACATGTATACAGTTTCCCAAGGGAAAGAGAGCTGAAGCAGAATACAGGAAAGCAAGAAGTTATAGCATTGTTTGATGTTTAGCAAATCAACAGCCTGAGAAAACCATTAGTTTAGTTCTAACACGCCCTTCTTGAAAAGAGGTAAGGATACTTAATGTATCAAATAATGAGACTAAGTTTGATGCTTGCATGTATTGTCCATTTGCATTAAACTGTCCTGGTGCAATTTGTTGAGGCTCCAGTTGATCTTTGCTGATGGGGTCTTGAGAGAGAATCACGGAGTCAGCGGATATTTGGTGAATGGAAAGACAAGGCCACAGCCTGGCACAAGCTTGGGTTCCTTGGGGGACTTCTAGTTCAGCCTCATCTTCACGTTAGGACTTCTCAAGAAGGACCAAGAGAGTCAGAGAGCAAGAGGACCAGAGAGGACAAGCGAAGAGCTAAGAGGACAAGAGAGCTAATCTTGATGATCAGTGATTTTTAAAGTGTGAAAAGGCCACACCCTCTGGAGGTGC